CTGAAGTGTTCTTATTATGTAGTCCTTTCTGTCCTCTCCTTCCAACTCCTTAAAACTCTACTGATTTTTGATGAGCATCGCACCTCCTCCTCCTCCTCCCCCCATTCCCTCTATCTGTCCTCATGAAAGATAGAGGGAACAGGGGGCTGTATGTGTGTGATGGTAAAGTACTAACTCCAGCTTTGCTGGAAGCTGTCATAACTGCTGAAATCATAGTGGAAGGTTTTATGATATCCTGATCTCCCTACTTAGGGCTTCCGGTCCATACCTACGGATTTCATTAACACATGTCATAAGGTATGACAGAAAATCATAGCAACTAGCTCTTGTTCTATATAACTCTCTTATGGAACAGGGGAGCAACATACTGTTGATCTATACAGCTTTGTGAAAGAAATAGATGAAAAATATATCTTGTTCATCGCACAAGGTTGCTGGCATAAATACTACACATACGGAACTTGACTGCGCGAATCCTCAGTGGAACAAGTTATTTCTGGCATGGGATCAACCTAATTACCTTGTTATTATGCCGCTTTGTACGAACCAGTAGGGCCTGAGCGGCCTTTGTTGTCTGCATGGGGTGTAGGATGAGGGGGGAGGGGAAAGAGCAGTGTGTGATGAGGGGTGCAAGGGGGGGGGGAAGTGTGGCAAGTGATGACCTGGATGATTATGTTAGTTTATTTATTAAGCAGAATCATCTAATGCGTGTCTTTTTTATATGATGATTGTGTCAATGGATCCATAAGAGTTTTGTAAAAATGTCATTTGGATATTACTTGACTAGTTGTGACAATGATAAGATCATTCCAGATAAATTTTATTATATGTGTCAGGTGTCTTGACCCTCTACTATTGGTAATCGTGGAAATGGATACTCCATAAAATAAACATACATTCACAAATAATTCACCTATAGAAATACTAGAGAGCCAGAAGCTCTGGCCGGATCTTGGGTTGGTAGTGGCGAGGTCAGGGGATTTCTAAACAGCAGCGGGGAAGGTGAAGTGTAGTTTTCGGTGGCCCACACAAGATATCGCCCTGGAAATATAAAAGTTGTGCAGAAGAATTAAGTTATCCAAACAGGAAAAAAATTAAAGCCTCATTGCAAATGAACAAAGACGAACATTCCATCATTACTTACACAATAGGAGATGAAAGATCCTTTAAATTATTGATGTGACCTAACAAATATTGACGTGAAGATTGATCAAAACTCATCTAGCAAATTAGGTTGATAAGTAAGATATATGTGCAACAGTTAAGTATCTTTAATCCAGAACGTTTCGCCTACCAAGTAGGCTTCTTCAGTCGAGTACAGAAGAGTTAGCAAAAGAAGTAGAGATGTGAAGACGATGTAATCAGTCCAAATGCCCTTGAAAACATAGTTATGAGATGGTCAGTCCCTCAGCCTGAGGAAGAGTTTTCCTCCATACCATGGAACATTGTTCCAACCTGTCGGTATTGTATACCATTTTCATATTCAGTAAACTAGGTAAAAATTATAAAAGAGGAAAAGACCCTGTTAACTGCCTAAGAGTTAGGGTTCATTAGACAGATCTGGTATATCACAACTAATAATTTTATATGATAGTTATAAATATCATTCCATAAACGCATCTGTAATCTGTAATTATTTGAATTTGAAAAACTCTTGTAATCATCGGATGAAGAGTGGTTCTTTTAAGTGTAGGATGAAGAGAGAAACCTGGAAGTGGCTCTTATAACTGTAGGATGAAGAGAGGGACCTGGAAGCAGTTCCTTATAGGATGGAGAATCATACTAAGTGAATAAAAAAGAGTTATGAAGGAAGAATAAAATGGTTGAATCTGACCAAATTTGTTAGCTAGGTAACTAACTAGCTAGCCAGGTAACTAGCTACCCACATAACCAGTTAGCCATGTAACTAACTAGCCACATAATTAGCTAGCCAGGTAACCAGCTATCCACATAACTAGTTAGCCATGTAACTAACTAGCCACATAATTAGCTAGCCAGTGAACTAGCTAACCAGAGCAAAATCGCTCTTGCACCCAATGGTCACTGTTACTCACAGGACCACTGCCATTTTCATGGTTATGTCACTCTTAGTGTCATTGTCACTTCCTGAGCTACTCTCGGTTCAAGGTTCACTGCTACTATCCGGGTCATTGTCAACCACAGGGTCACTGTCAATCACAGGGGTACTGCCAATCAAAAGGGTCACTGTCACCATGGGGATTCTGTGTTACAGCTACTAGATCTCTTGCGTAGGTCGAGGTAGAGTGGGCTGGGGTTATATTACAATGAAGACAATGCTCTCGGATCGCACAGTGATCGAAGAAATCTAGTTCTTTATAAGAGGATCTTCTTTACTCCGGTCATTATAATTGTCTTATATTTCTTTGTTGGCCACATCCTCTACTGTAATTTTGTTACCTTACACATGTAGTCCGATTTTTACCAGTCTGACCTATGTACAGTTTATCACATAGACAATTAACCCGCACCAACTTAGAAGACTGAATCATACGAAGTATCGGTCTGACTTGGACCATTTGCTAGTTAATTATCCAAGTCGGCTCGAAACGTCGTCATAAGTTTCAGTTTCCTAAGTGTAGGTTATTTTGTATTGTTCCATTATTTGCATTGTGCATTTTTATTTTTTTATCGCATCCATTGAATTATTATATGCTCTTCACCTCTCATTCGCTGGGCATTTTTATCATCTGTATTTTATGTTCTTAAACTGAAAGTTATATTGTTTAAGTGGCGAAACTTATATGAAGTTTTAGTTGGAAGGTAATATTAATGTTTTGCTTCTTTGTATCAGATAAAACCATGACCTGGGTATTAAAGTTTGTTTTTACCAGTCTCAAATATGATTTGTAATCCTTTACAAAAATCGAGGTTTATTACATTATAATAGTGGATATAGAATAAAACAGTTGGATGTTTCTGTAAATTTTTCTCTAAGTAGATTACCTTCACTAACAGTTTCGGCACTCAAAAATAGCAGTCATTTCAGTTCCATACTTAAATTTAATAGGAGCCAAATTGCTCAAATTTGACCTTCCCTGCTGTAATTTTTTATTTGTCTTTCTGCGTCTGTGAAAAGTCGTTAATGGCATTTCTCCTTGCTGCTCTGTTCTCTATACGTTTTTCTGCATTTTTTCCATTAATTTTACTTTAGCCTACGTCTCACTATGCAAATCACAGGTTCTCTATGTTTTCAGTGTCTTTCCTACTTGTATAAATATGTCTGCTGCTTCTTTGCATGTCTTGTCGCCTCGTCATTATCCCGTCACTTATTCATTCCTTCCGATTATCTTTCTCACTGCACTCCATTCAGGAACTCTCTCCATTTTGCATAATCCCATCTCCTGTAATCTGGTTTTAACTGCACTCTAACCCTCTTCCCTCCTCTCCAGTCACACTTCGATCAAGCAGTCCAACCACAGGACCTTGAGGTCACCGGCACCAAGTTGTTTCTCATATTTTTTTATTTTTTTTATGTTACTTCATTTAGAATGAAGGGAAGGGTATTTAACAGACTTAGCACTGCTGGTTCTTTTCCTTGCTACCACTCCTCTGATTCTTGTGATGTCCTTATTATAGCAGTCCACGCATATTTATTTGTCATTTTTTCCATTCGTTTCTAATCATCGATGCGATTTTTCACTTCTCAAGGTCTCTCTCCTCGTGAATAAAATATATAAATAATTAAAAGGTTTACATAGATTAATTGCTCTGTGTCGATTCTTCCATTTGTATACCTTCCTGTTATTCTCGTTCTCTTGTAAATTACTGTTATTATTACCTTAGTCACTCCAATTTCCACTGGCTTTGCTACATAGTCTCTTAAGTCTTCAAAGCAGACGTTAAACATCTCTTCAAAATTAAAAATATTTCTAAGTAATGATGACAGAACATTAAACCTTTCCTCCTCGTTATGTGATATCCTACAGAAAACAATACATTTGTTATCATGTTAACTTCTTCTCCACACTGGTTATTATATTTGGTTTCAAATCCTTTACACCTAACCAGCAAAGTGAGGGCAGTTAGGTGACGTGTCTGAATATTATCGGACAGAGGATCGAGCCTCTACCATTTCTTATACTGAATAATAAACGATTTGAAATTTATATAATATATAATAATCTCCATTTCATAGTTCTTATATGGAATGGCAAAACTGTGTACCGTGCCTAGATTTTTTTTATATCCTGCTGATCTATCTGGTACTTGTTATATATAGGGAAGGAGATAGGGAAAGGGGTTCATCCAGAGAATATGGCCTGTGATGGTTCTGGAGTCTTGTCCCTGGATATGTGTTTGTGAGGAATTCCTCTTTGTATAATATGTATTCATTATATATTATGCAAAGAGGCATTCCTCACATGTTTACTTAACGATTTGTTTGTGATAGTGAAATTTTGGTTCACAATCCTGCCTCATAAATGTTGTTGATATCGGCATTACTGGTTTCTGTCTTCTTGAGCCCTGTCAGACCTACTTTTAAAATTAACCATGGATTCCATGTTTGCTCTCAACACTTCCACATTCAGTCGGTGGAAAGTGACAAAGGGTGAGAGGAGGTAACAGACAATAAATGAAAGTGACAGTTGGTGATGACAGGTTGATAGCAAAGCATTGTGATGAGGAGTGTTCTGAGGGTACATGAATCAATCAAGTGTGAGGAGTGTCGTCGGCGGTAATGATCACGACATACGTCCTTCGGCTATCCTCACCTTCAACTTCCGCTGACCCCCAAAAACCTGCATCCAAACCACTGTGTGTCTTACTTCTTATATTACTCCACATATGGTAATATTAGTTCTACATCTGCTACCACTGTGACTCCCTCTGGGGTAACAAGTATGGGAACAGCATAGTGCAGAAAGGAAGTAGCATGTAAGAACGTGAGGTTAGAAGACAGGGCAAGAATGGTGGTCAGGCGACATCCTGAACCCCTTACATCCCATCCCCAGCGCGGGTTTATATGGCGGGCCAGAGAGTGAAAGTTATTAGTGTGAGTGAGCCAGTGGCAGGCAACGTACATCTATCCTCTGTTTATAAAGCTACATACAACAGGACCATCACCAATTGTATACAAGTGCCCTGTGTCCGTCGCGACCATCGTCATCGCTCACACCATGAACTTCGCAAGCCTAACACTCTTCTGCGGGGTCGTCCTCCTGGCGCATCTCTGCGGCATCGCTCAGGTAAATTTATATACTGAGTTGTGATGAACATTACATATAAACCCACAAGCTCGCAAGATAAATTAGTGATAATACAAACAGTTACGAGTAGTCATACATATCCATACTAGTCATGTTAAAGATACAGCATAACATGCATCTCGGTTAGTTGTTTGTAAGCTGAGAGCGAGCCCCGGGCTGGGAAGAAACGCACCACACCACATGCAGGTTTAGCGCTCTTGTGAATCAAATAATAATGATGAATTGTTAGTCATTTCAAATGATTCACACAAGTTGTTATCTATGTTCTTAATTTGCGTTAAGTGTCAAAAGTCTCACTTGTTTGTATTTAGAAATACAAACAGTTATTAAAATATAATTTTCTAATTCATTATGTAGCAATCAAGAGAGCCTTTAAGATAATGAGCTCGTAAAAAAGACACTCAAGTGAAATGTGTTCCTTGCGAGGAAAAAACTGAGAGCAGTTTGTAGTTGGCATTGAAACTGGTAAGAAGCCACCACCATCAACCACACTTTCCTGTTTATCCAATATTTGCTGACCATTCCACCAATAATGGTTGACCTCTTCAACCAGATTTTAATGAAGTTTTACTTACTCCAACACAAATTAAATTGGAGCTTTATTAGTTGTGATGAGCACAGTTTTACATACACCTGCAAAACACTAGGTTTCTAATACCGCCTGCCTCCTAATTAAAATAAATAAGGAATTAGGGAAATATATTTAGTCATTATACACATGATTTTTAACACATTAATCACGAGAGCGCCTGTAACCAGTCCTTGAAGGGGGGCCTTGATCCACGGAATTGGAGATACTCTCATCTTTCTTGCATCAAACCTGATTTCTTCCCATCTTCCAGGAGCTATATGACCTCTACAGGTTTAACAGCTTCACTATGATTATAGTATAATATTCAATACACACAGTCTTCATAACGGCTACAGGGAACACCTGTAGAAAACCTGCTGTAGGGAATACCTGTATGGTTGTCTGGTATATAACATGACTTTTCATACTGCTGCAAGGCCTCAGTGATTTAAGGAATCACTGCCGCTGGGTCAGTGTCCCCAAGAATCATCTACAGGTAATCTGCATCTACAATATTCATTACACTTATTCATTGCTTCTGACATTTGGTTTTGCCTATTAATGTTGACTAAGATAGCCTATTTCTCAGCTTTTCTCGTGTGAGCCAAGTCAATTAGAGCTTAACTATGTGGTGTTTGCATTTATTACCTAAAAACTGCCAAAAATTATGCTAGAGAAAATTAAGACAAGTGGTACGAAATAGTTTTATGACCATCACACTTTTTTTTTCCTTAAGAACGTCACCTTACGAAATCAGCAATCTGTCAAACATTTTAATTTAGCAAACTTATGTTGGTTTCATCTAAATTTCACTAGGTTGTGCATATGAACAAATCCAAATTCTTGCTAATAGTAAACAAATTTAAATCGGTCTGTTATAAACTACCCATTAAGCCATGCAAAATAAGTTGAGCAAGGCAGATTGTCTTTGCAGCAGAGAAAGTGCATACAATGAATATATAAATAATATTCCATTGGCGAGTACTTCCCTTGTTACATAAATATGAGTTGAAATAAAAGAACTTGGTGGCGAGAGAGAAAAGTCGGGTACCAAAAATAAACACCATGTGATGAAGTAGACAAGCCAGGTACCACAAACGGACACTATATGATGAAGTAGGCAAGCCAGGCACCATAAACGAACACTATATGGTGAGGTAGGTAAGCCAGGCACCACAGACAGACACGGTGTGATGAGGGAGGTAAAGCCGGCCACCACAAACGAACACCATGTGGTGAGGTTAGACAAGCCAGGCAAAACAAACGAACACCATGTGGTGAAGGAGGCAAGCCAGGCACCACGAACGAACGTCATGAACAAGTCATTTAACTTTCTCTGATGGAGTAGCAAGACCACCTCTGCATGCCAGCTCTGGCTCAGACTTGCTCTGTGCTGCAACGAGAAAGCAGGGACTCGTTCTTGCCAGAAACAGGACCATAGCTGACCTCACTTTTTTTTACACTCCTGCCCTTATCTCCAGCTCTCAGATGCTGACAACAGTTATTTAATTTCACAATGAATATGTCAAGGAAAAGCACAAACCCAAACGGAAGCATTAAAATAGCCTTCTGAAGACTACCTCAGTGTGACATCGAAATACAGTGTTATTTTTTATTGTCTCTAAGTGTGTTTGACTATTGAACTGACTAATGTTTCTCACATTTTTGTATTTAGATTTTTAGAACATTATCCAGCCTTTGCAATCTCAGATTAAAAATATCAAGCGTGTAATGACTGTGGAGACTGCTCAGTTAATTGAATAACAGGACCTAATCATCGTAACACTTTTCTCTACACGTAAGAGTCATTTAATGCTAAACAACTGCAATAACTGCCACTGTTGAGGCAAAAGCGATGGCCAAGATTGCCTCAGACTGATGCTTCAGTCTAATAAGTGGTTATCAAGTCACTTTTCTTTCGTAACATAACAGAATTCAGAATATTCTTATTATATATTCTGGATGAAGACTGCCATTATTATTATTATTATTATTATTATTATTATTATTATTATTATTATTATAATCAGGGGGCCGCACTTAATCTGTATGGGCCACAGAGCATGGAGAATGGGAGTGCTCGGGTTTTATCCAAGGAAAGAGCTGACAAAACCACTTCCCTGGATCAAGAGACCCTCAGTAGCATCAAGGTACCTCCCTTGAGGGGATAGAATCTTAAGATTGACCTTTCCATCAACTGAAAAACAATTAGAAAAAATAACATTAAACAAGAACAGCAGAGATGCAGTATTTTGAAATAGAAATAGGAAGCCAATTAAAGGCGAAATTGAATATATCACTCATGAATATTTTAGTCCGGAATTAGCAGACTTAGTTATTATGTAATATGTTAGATTTTAAATAAAACAGCCTAATCTTTATCGACGATGTTTCGCCCAACTAACCTCTCTAAAAGCTTGCGTAACTTTTAGTTATACTGAGAGGGACAGGGGTGGAAAAACTCTTGAGGTAACCAGAATATATTACCTAAGTATTACTCTCCTAGCATGACCATAGTTAACTTTTAAGTCTAATAAAAATATTTCTTACATGATTATGTAATCTGTTGACCACCTGCTGCTGACCTTACCAACGCTGCTTGCTGTTGCCACTACCTTTCTGAATATTAATTCATGTTTAAAGTCTTGTAAAACGTCATATACCTCAGAGTAGCCACACACTGAGGTATGTAATTTTGATGTAAAAAACATTTATCACACTATGTGTATGTCGTCCTTGGAGAAGCATGTTATAGCATAAATATTAATAACAATCTTCATGTTCTTGGTATCCAAACGTCATGCACTCAGTACCGTAAACTTTTAAAATGTGTTTTAATAAGTGTGAGCTGAATAAGTGTGTGGGTGTGTACTCATCTATATATGGTTGCAGGGGTCGATTTGCAGCTCCCGGCCCCGCCTCTTCGCTGGTCGCTACTAAGTCCACTCTCCGGCTCCAAGAGCCTTATCGTACCTCTTCTTAAAGCTATGTATGGATCCTGTGTATGCATGTGTGTGCGTGTGTGCGTGCGTGTGCGCGTGCATGTGTGTGCATGTGTGTTTGCATGTGTGTGTGTGTGCGTGCGTGCGTGCGTGCGTGCGTGTGCGTGTGCGTGTGTTTCGTGACTGGCAGTGAGGGTAATATGCTACCACGGCAACACTGCACACCCTCCTAACACACCAAAGTGAAAGCCAATGTTTGAATGTTGTGTTGATACGTTGTGCAATGCTATTGTTGTAGACAATCCGTGTTGTTCTAAGTCAACTCATTATATCCAGTGGTAGTGACGAACTGAGAGCTAATGAGGTAGGTAGTTAAGTTTATCGTTACATAAACTGTTTTGCGATGAAACTAATGTAGTACCCTCACTAATGATTCTTTTAAATAAAACAGAAAATATGTTAAAGTTTAAACATATAAAATCATTTTAATGCTAGATATTAATTATCATCATCAGATGCAATACACTGTAGGAATTCATCTTACTCGACATATATTATCTCCAACAGATCGAGTTTTCTTATACATTACTTTGCCTGCCCAGTAAACAAACTACTTTCAACGAAACTCGAGGTTTTTACGCATTTGCATAAAAAAAAATCACCGGACGCAACTTATAATAGTCGACTAACACCCGCTACCTACGATATTTTTACTTCTAGATGAGCAGGAGCGGTAAGGAAATTGCCCAGAAATTGAATCCAGAGCTTTTTGGTACGTGAGCTGAACATAATTATTATCTCTAACTGGTTGATAATTTGGGTTTAAAGCTTATCGTCTACACATTGGTCATTAAGACTGCATTTAACGTGTTCGCCACCAGTCAAGAATACTGTAATCCCTAAAATAGGGATTTAAGTAAACTCCGTGTATATACATGAGAGATTCGCACCTCTCGGTGTATGTACTCCTGTGATATTGCACTGTTGATGAGGTGGAAGGCAGAAGAGCAAGTGAAGGTCACTCTCTGATCTTTCCTTCTCCTTAGTACTTCTCGGTATTCTCATTCTATTTAATTTCATGTTATATAAATAATAGTTTAGATAAATAAGGCGTAAATTCAAAAACATTCTGACGAGTCTTCTTTATTAATGTTTCATTCTTTTACATCATCTTCGTTTGTCACCTCCTTCCTCTGGCAGGTTGTCTTTATTTATTTTATAGTTTTTCATGTAATCTTTCATATCCTTCTCACATGTGCTCCTCTTTTTTACTTCTTTCACTTGTTTTATCTTCCCTTTCTTTTTATCACTAACATATCTACATTTATATCTGCTGCTACTGTTACTATTAATAGTAGTAATAATAACAGTTACTAATACTGCAACAATTACTACTGATAGTTATATAATAGTAAATATTGAGTTGTCCGCCTCCCCTCCCCTGGCAAACACTCGAACAGCAGAGG